TTTACCTGGAGATTTTCCATGCAAGCAGAAATCACCAATGGATCATCGTGGCCTGGAACGATATCGTCGTAATCATCATCGAAAAAGTTAATGGACTCATGATTTTTACGGTACATGGAATTCTGCCCATGGTTACTAACTATCATGACAGCCTTCAGATGCCTTTTTCTCTGAGAACAGGTCTCTCCTCCTCCCTTCCTCCAATAATAGTGGCTAATACTCCTACAACATTATTAGGTATTTGTGGGGTCTCTGGTGTTCTTCCTGTTGATCATGTTGTCTATCACGCGGTGGTGCTTCCTCACGTCTATCATTGTGCTCATATTGCACATTCTTATCCCTGTTAGATCTGGGCCAATTATAATCTCCCTTCTCCTGATTCCTTCATCTGTTAGGACTTCTATCATTATCAGGGCTTCTATCATGCCTTTTATGTGCCTTATAATCTTTGCAGGTGGAAATAAATCCGTGAAGTTTTCCTACTCTAATTAGCGCTTCAATGGTGTTTTTTAAGTCAAAAAAATTAATCTGTAGAATAGCCAGTATCATCATGGAATTCGCAAAATTTAATTTCATCACATCTTCCATTCTTTTTCAATGGTAGAGGTTTTGGAATATGAACATAACCGGATTCACAAACTTCCTTAAGGATTCTCCAACATGATGTATTCAAAGGAGTGTAGTTTTGAAATTTTTCCCATTTTCTTTTTTTTCTTCTCTAAAACGCCTTTGAAAATCTTTCTGAAAATATTTTTCAAAGTTATCGAGCTCGAACTTTACTCTAGGAATATCATAAGAGCTCTTATAATCTTCCAAATTGATAAACTTTTTATCGAGCTCTAAATTCATCAATAGTTCGTGGATGATGTTTCGCCAAAGACATAGAGAACGGACCTTCTAACAGTCCTTCGATGATAAGATGTAAAGAAACTTGTGGGTCCAAATCTTTCACCAAAAGAGCTTCATCAAAAAACCCGTTAAGATAATCAAACAAGGTTCTACATGCACCTTGTCTAACCGTTTTCAAGGCGTGAGTTGATTTATATTGCGCTTTGCTGGTAGCAAACCATATAAGAAATTGGCTAGTGAGATCTTCCCAACTTTGAATTGAATTGGGGGGCAAGGCAGAATACCATCGGAGTGCAATTTCTTTTAACGTTGTTGGAAACAATTGACATGCCACTCAACATCTTGCTCCATCATGTTAGTTTGAAAATACTCCAGATGTTCTTGTGGGTCTCCTTTCCCATTATATTTTTCTATTGTAATTTTCACATCCCTTGGGATTGGTATATATGACTTGAGAAGTAAAAGGATGCAAAACTCGAGAAACTGTTTTAGAATTTCCCTCAGAATTCTCAAGTACTTCTTTTTCCCACTCTCTTTTTTTACTTTGCTCTGAAGGTCTAGGGTCTTTCATTGAATATTCATGACCTGGTTCGCTCTCATCAGATTTTTCCATACCTTCATCATTTTTCTTTTCCTTTTTCTCTAGTTTTTTCCTTATTATTCCGTAATTTTTTCAACTGAGCTAAATCTCGATTTTGCTTAGCGATTTCCTTATTTTGTTGAGTAATAAGTTCCAGCATGTGTTGAGTAGTGGGTGGATTTTCATTACGTGTAGAAGTTGGAGCAACAAATGAAGCTGATTTCTCACGTAAAGTTTGTATTTCTTTCCGCTTTCCCTCGGAACCATTTTGTGATTTGCTTCTGGTATCAACCATGTTTTTTGATTTGTAAGAAAGTGGGAATTGAAATTTATAGTTCCTCACAGACGGCGCCAATGATCAGACCAGTTCCGTATGGATTGGGCTAAATCACACATAGTTGAAGGTTGAAGGCTTTGGGTTGTGTACAATACTTCGTGGGCTGATGATGTTCACTGCGTAGGTGATGGTTGGTGTACACTTCAAGCGCAATGGAGCTGACTGGGGGGTACCTGTAAAAACACTTCGACGCTTAAGTCAGTATCAATGCTAGGTCTATGTTATGTTTTTATTAGAATTGTTGACGCTCAAATCATATCAATGAGGCCATTGCGCTTCTTGGTCCTTCTGCACAATACTTGTATCGCACATTATGGCGCTTAATATTGCTTGGGCCCTTTCCGGCCTTAACCTTTGTGAGCTATGTATTTATCCAGATGAGATATTTATAAAAGAAATAATCTGTATTAGAATTTTAGGGCTTCTGAGTTTTTTTTATTTTACCTTCATAAGTCTAAATGCTAAGTTTTAATTCTCGACTAAGGTCAACTCATAACTTCCCAAAACTTAATAGCTTATGTGCTCTATCCAAATACTCGGGAATTAGAGGATACGTTTTATTATAAATTATTTTATTTAAATCTATCTACGAAATACGGGATGTGTAAGACATAGAAGTGAGAGGAGCTTGACTATTCAATCTTATTTAAATATAATTTCAATTATTCAGATTGAATAATATCGATCTTATTTTTCATTTGATACGGTGTTTGTGTGTCTATATATATATATAT